ATCGGTGCGTAGTTTAACGGTATAACCGCGAGATTGCAAGGCGAATCGGTCCGGGATGGACGTGACGTCTCTCTCTCGTAACTCCGTCGAGCGTGCTCTCTAAAAGAGGTCTAAAAGAGGTCTCACCTTTGCTCCACATCGGCACCAGGCGGTGGCGGCGCGAGATGTGGGACGCTATCGAGCGTATCCGGGACGTGGAGTAACGATAATGGGTTCAAAACGTCGACACGCGACACCTTATGCAGATATCTGCGTCGGTGGATCTGTTCGTTTCCTTAACCTGATTATTATCCGAGACCGCGAGAATCGGTTCCCCTGTCCGAGAGAAACAAATTCCAGGATTCCGTTTTTTCAAAACGAAAAGATTCTGGAGGTCGAGACTCTCGCAGAATTCGACGACTTACACAATACGAAAACTTGACAAAAACTGAACAAAAAAAATCTCAAAGAAAAAAAAAATCTAATCGACATCTACGTCATCATTCTGCACTCAACGATAATTATTATGTAACACCATGTGTTATATAAATTATATTACATTTCTATTAAGCACGAAATTATAACATAGATGTTATAAGTAAAGCGGTTTCTACTAGAAATAAATTAAATTTTAATAAATATTTGTTTGAACAGTTCAAATATTTATTAAATGTAAACATACATTTATTTGTACTGAAAACCATTAATTTGATTAACTCTTCTTTCTTTTATTAAGTAAATGTTTACTTCGAAATATGTATTAAAATTTAATAAATTTTTTTAGTGTAGACGCTCGATATTATTCTATAATTATTTTGCAGGATATTATGACGTTCCCTTTAAACAATTTAAAACAAGCAATCTGGAAGCTCATATAGTTTCCACGGTCAATAATATTATGCAGTATGAATATTTGCAATAATATTGACCGTCTATAGAGGCAGCTTTTCTTTTATTTGATGAACTGAGAAAAACATTTGATTCTGAAGATTCTGATTATATCAATCAAAATTCTGGTCAGCTCGATTAGAAGTCTAGTAAATTTAACCAGAAAATTTTGATTTAACCAGTGAATCTTTAATCAGAATCCCAATTAGTCCAAACATTTTTTTCAAGGTGTCAACTGAGAAGATCTAACGCACGGGGATCCAAGAACTTAAAGATTCCACGAATCTTCCCAAATACCTAAACACTTTGAACAATCGAGAATTCAAGGATCTCGCGTTAATATCGACGTAGTCTTCGAACTTGCGCACTCATCCGCATAATCATGGCTTAAGAAACAGATAAGTTCGCGCAAGGGAATTAATTACAGCCGGAGACAAGTCACGTTAAATGGCGCCCGTCCTCAATGACGCGGTGTTTGTTTCAGTAGGACAGGACGGGAAACGTCGCCGAGTGTTGCATAATCGACGGTTAGTTGATAAAAAAAAAATAGAAAAAAAAATGGAAAAAAGATCGACGAAACTGGAACAAGGATGCGCGCGTGCGTTAAATGCGGCTTTAACGGCGGAGCAATTCGTCCGTTAACGTTTAATCGCGGTATAATATGATATTTAACGACGGGGTTGTGCACGTTCCTTTCGTCGATATAAAATAATAACCGGTAATCGCGCTCGCCGTGCTCGTTGCATCATCAAATGTTGCATCTCATTCAGCATTATTCAAACGCTTGTTTAACGCTATTAGTAGTGTGTTATTCAGCGTGCGTTACGCAACGCTCGCACACAGTCCTGCGAGTTGCAAAATTAACGCTTACAAAATAAGCCGCGGATTAGCCGTCGGAATTTTAATAAATCGCCCCGGCGATACCGGCCGTTTTGCAACCGGCTACGCACGCGACATGTATTAGCGAACCGATTAAAATTAAATAAATATAATTCAAACGAGAGAGATACCTGCGAGAGTGCGCGGGATCAGAAACCGGTTCCTAAGATTTTTAAGAGCATCTCGCCGCCAAAGGCGATCTTTGTTTATAGCTCACGTTTATATATATATATATATACGTTGCAAAAGTTGTTACTATGCGTCATACCCTGTAGACGATAAAAAACATTTTGCGTTTGTGTTAAAACCAGTCGACTCAAGTCCTTGTTAAAATTTTTTTGTCGAATCTTTTACATGTGCAAGTGTTAACTTGAAGTAAAGTGGTTATGTTACATTTTGTGTCATATTGATATTCCACATTTCTTGTGTCAAGATAACACTACGACTAAGTGAACAAATAACATTAAAATAGTATATTTTTAAATGTGAATTCTAAGAAAAATGAATAAAATACATAATAATTTAGCATATCGCTTCCTACTTGAGAAATGACACAATTAAAAAGATTAAATTTTTCAGAAAAGGGAGAAATTATTTTTCAACTTAATGGGAAAAAAGGAAATTATTAATTAAATAATAAAAAATATACTCTCAAGAACGTGATTAAATATTTTTATTGTTATTGTCACAATCCTTAAAATTCATCCTTTTTGAGTAACGTTGATTTTGATATTCAACAGAATTATAAAAAATCCAGAATAACTCATCAAACGTGACAGAACTCGAAATCATCAACAGTTTACGTAAATATTTCCTGTAGAAGACTATCCTTTTTATTTACAAAAACAAAATATATCATTCTTGTAGAAGGTAAACTTGTTTTGAAAACCTGAAGAACGATACAAGTGCTATTTGTTGTACAGATTGTGAACTTAAGTTAGTTTACTTTTAATAATTGATGGAATAATTTTTTAAACTAACTCATTCATAATAACTTAAAGAATCACATTTTGTGTCATTTTTTAATGTAATTATAATTATATTGTTACATAATAATAATTAAAAAAATTATAATTGTCAAGACAATAAAAATTCTGCATAAACTAAAATTCTTGATATAGTGTAATAATTCTAAATTTTAATTATGTTGTTTTATATATAATATTAACTTAGTAAATCAAAAAGGACCAATAATATAAATGTTAATTCTACTGAAAAAGTAAGATTTTCGACAATCAGCTTACAAATTGTGTTATATTTTTCGTGCTAACTTTTTACATAATATTTCTGTCACTTCCTAATATATTTATCTTGTATTAAATTAACACAAAAATTTGAATAGATTATTTGGGACACGTAAAATGTAACAAATCAAGCATAATTTTCCAACTATGTATATACTATGCGTCATGGCCTTTATATTAACTATTGTATAAGCGAGGAAAATACCTACGATCCGGTTCTATGATCTTCAACGCGCGATAAATAAATCGAATCACAGAATAAAAATATCTGAATGGCCTGTTTCCACAATTAAAAGGAAAAAAATATTAATAAATTCGATCGCTATTCTTGCACTTGGCTGATAACATAATAAGATAGTTTCTCAATGACTGTCGAGTAATTCATTAGACAAGCGATGCATAATTTTGCATAATCGCGGGGCGTACGAATGATACGTGACAATTATTATAATCATTATCCGCTCGCGTCAATGTTGCGCAACAGCGAGATAACGCTTGGACACGATAACGACAATGGCGGCCACGACGACGATGGAAGACCTAACAATTAGCTAAAAAGATGAGCAATCGACTTCCTGTGGTTCTCATTGGCACTGATAGAGCAACCGGTTGTCGGCGACGACGTCCGTTCGACGATGATGAGGCAATCGGTTAACGGAACGCACAGAGAGTATTGGGCAACCTGATGGAGACTGGCGCATCGTGCTCGATAGGCTACCACGATGTCAACAGCGAGTGCATCGCACTTCTCGCACGAGTGCTCGCTGCAATTCGCGAAATGCGATCGTCGTCTTTGTCGTCGCGGCCGAGAATTCGAGCGCGAGGAAACGCGAGCCGGAATCCAAGTTGCCGTGTGATCGTAGCGTTGACGCTCGGTTTGCTCGAGGGAATTTTAAAAGGTCTAAAAAAGACTGCATTCTTAGCCATGACAGAATTGTTAGTGAAAAACAAACTGGGAAAAATGAAGTCGGAAAACCGGAAAAATTAGGGAGATTCAGGAAATAAAAAAATTTATTAACCTGAAATAAATTAAAATTATGATACAGATTCGAAATATAAATTTTTACTTGTATAAAAATTATTGAATAAAATTTTTTTTAATTATTTAAGAAATGAAATGCTAAATTTTTGCAAATTTTTTTCAATTGTGCAGTTGAACGATTTATAAAAAAGCATTAACAGATAGATATATACATAGTTAAAAAGGAAACTTTATTAATGTCTTGACATTTGCAAAAGAAATACATGTTAACGAAGTATCACAAATCATTCATGGCAAAATTGTAAAAACATTAGGTATATAAAATATTTATAATACTAATAATGCATTTTTTTTACACAAACGAAGAAATGTTTCAAAGTTTCGTAGTTTCAAGATAAAAAATTTCTAATTAAGATGTAATTAGAAATTAAAAATCAACATACTTAAAATTAATGTCTGAAAACAATTCAAAAAGTTACAGAAATAGAGAAGATAAGTGCTTGTTCTTTCAATTTAACATTGGAATTTTTTGAAAATGCAGCTTTAGAAAATACAGCAAAAGTTTTATTTCACTTTGCCACTCTCCATTTTCTTTTTGTATTTTCTATTTCTAATTAATAATTTTTCCTTTGTTCTTATTCAGCGCTCTTTTCAGGCTTCAGTTAAGAAAAAATCAAAGACTATTTTTTTCTATTTAGCTGCATATAAAACAACTCTGCATATAAAGCTGACGTAACGTAAAACTGATGTAAACGTTTTATATCTAACAAAAAATAAGTTTAAAAAATAGTTTTATAGAAAATAACGTAATTTACATTTATAACAATTTTAATATTTTATTAATTCTCCTTTTGTTATCGCTTTTTACAAGATAATGCAATAAATTGAGGATGCTTGTAAGATTTTCGATTTTTCAGGAAATCCGATTTTTAAAAAACATTCACTAATCTATTTAGGAAAAAATTGCCATAAGGATTCTCAATGCCAGTGGAAATTTCAAGAATTACAGAAACGTAGTATCTCGAGAAGCATGAGGGAAATATTCAAGGATCGTGTCTAAGGACTTGGAATGCACTCGGCATTGAAGACGCGATGCAACCTCGCATTTTGCGCTGCACACGTACTTACATTTCCGTAAACATCGCGTCTCAATGTATCATTCCTCGAGGTAATCGTTTATTTTACATGCAACTTTGGAGTCGAGTGGGACTTGCTAATTGCGAGATTGCAAAATTGAGCGATCGCCAACAATGTTACAACGTTACAGGAGCTTAACAATCGTGTACACATGAATTGACTGCAAAAACAGTCGCACATTTCCCTAAATCAAGGCCACTCGAGGATCACGTGATGAATTAACATGAATTACAATTTAATGAGGTGTAATAATTTTCGCAATAAAATTATTTACAACTTTAAGATGCTTATTGGCATCAGATTATTAGAATCTTCCCAAGATACCTATGAACATTAATTTGATTAAATTCCTTGTCAACTTAATTTACGATATTATTACTCTGATTCTATTAGAATTGCGTACCAAGACTGAAAATTAAATCCGGCGTGCAGTTTGCAGAATTGGAGTGGTATATAAATTCACGCCGAATTATTTAAGCAGCTTAAAGATCCAGCTTGTCTGTTTGAGGCTTTTATTTTCTATTTATTGTGTATAACGATCGAAAATACCGGTGTATTGTATTCGGCGTGATTTCAAAAGTGTTCATGCACGTATTTGCGCGCAAAATATCTATTGTATTTCTAGACACAACGGTATGTGTCGCGTGCGCTTCATCAACGTCTATTATGCAGTGGTAAGTAATATGCAAACGTAGGAAATATTACATATTCGCAAGTACTTGTCGCTTTTACGTAAGAGACGACTTCAAAGAACTACAGTACGTACATGCATACATACACTTTACACATATACATACATAGGCAGATCTTAATTGCAAGGTCGTGCAAGATCCCGTTACGTCGCTGATATCGTAACGTAAGTCTATGTTACCACGTTAACGTAAATTAAATAGTAATAAAACATTGCGTGCGCACGTTTCGCCGATCGACCTCGACCAGCATACCGTGAACTCCACATCCCCGTTCCACAATTAGTCGATTTTTTTAATCAAAGCCCTATCGCGAATTGAGAGGCAGCTCGAAAGGTTTAATAAGGTTACATGGACGATAATTTAACGAGATATCGTTAATAATTTCGCATTCTAGTACATTATACATTTTTATTAAACCTTTACATTTCCATACAAAATTATTGGAATTTTGAAGATTATAAAGTAACCTTGATCTAAGACTACTTTGTATAAATACACAGTTAGACATGAAAGGAACAACTGTAATCCAATCCCATGAGTTAACTTTTCACTAAATTCTAAGTGTGTCAAAATGTAAATCATTTTTGCAATTAGTTTCGAATTACTCAACGTCCACATTAATAAATACGCTTATTAAATAATATCTGAATTAAACTTAGTATACTTCCTCTCGAGTTAAGTTCTTTAACTCCATTGTAATTAAATTAACGATATATTGAGTTATGGAAACAACGGTGACCTACAGAAATGATTAAAAATTATTTAAATAGAGTATAATTTGACATTGTAAATTTAATTTAACGAGATATCGTTATTAATTTTACGTAAGAAGCAAATTATAAATTTTAACCCCTTACGTCTAAATAAAAGAAATCATCGAGATTTTTTAAATTTATCAGACAATGACGTCGATCGAAAAGGCCGCTTAATATATGTGTGTGTGTTGTATTTTTTTTTCCATTTTACTTGCGAGAAAAGTAAAGAAATTCTAGACGGTTAGAAGACACCACGAGCTGAGCTATTAATTTTTTTTTTTCAGGATCTGCGGTACACTGCGCGTCGTCCTCTTTCGCGAAAGCGGCGATAAGGAGCGCCGACAAAATGGCGAGGCGACGACGAAGATACGCGGGAAACTCGCTCGTGTGTGGTATGACCCATTGGCCCAGTTTGCACAGGCGGTAATGCCCATCTCGTCGCCGCGAAAGGCCGCGTTGCGTGGCGAGCTGCGCTACGCGAACTCGCGGTTGAGCGCGCAAAAGCGCAATCCGCGCGGCGCTGCGCTAACTATCGTACATAATACGCGACGTGTACGATTTAAACGCGATTACGTTACCTTCGCTCGAAAGTAACGAGTGTAATGCGGCGATATCGATGAAAGCAGCTGCAGTCGCGACGCTAAGCGTATTCAATCATTCGATTTATCAGCGGTATATTTCAAATATTTTCTATTGTATTATATAAAAACTGTATCTCTAATCCACTTACAATTAGAATTATATCGTATGTACGTATCCAGTTGGAAATTCTGTGTTAAATTGAATATATTTCATGTCTTAAATGCGCCATCTGAATTTTTGTGTTAATTTTATGTGAATAGATGTGGTGAAATGAATAGATGTGGTAGAAAAAGTAAATATTATGTTTTTAAAAATTGACAATTTAGAACAAAATTGTGGAAGATTGCTTTCTTTAGTAAAATTGACATGTATAAGTAATGTATAGTAATGCGTAGCGCACAGTTATATCTAGGATAAGTTTATTTAAAATACATACAGATGTATTATTCCAACATCTAACTTTGACCGTAATAGGTGCTTCTCTTGCGTAAATAATGTGCTCATATAAGCAATCCTGTTTCTAATCTTAATATTGATATGTAGAATGTATTAAACAGACACGTAGATACATTTTATTTAATTATTTTAGAATAATATCGTTTTAAATCAACATATATTTTTTCACTTACACAAATTGTCATTTTAACACTAAAAATGATATGAATTTAACACGTCAAAATATTCAAATAACAATTACATCATATTTAATTAACAATCAAGACTTTCAAGAGAGATTTTCACATAAATACAAACGTTTTTTTACTGTATAATCATGAAATATTTATTTCCTTCGTAAATGACACGCGAGAAAAGAAAGATAACTGTTGTACAAATTATTGCTTTTACAGTTATAATACTTCTCGTTGATAATGTTGCAAACATCACATAAAGCGAATTGATTCTTCGTCTTCAAAGTTATGGATTGTTAAAAATCTCCAAATCTCTAGAATTATAAAAATAGTTCTTTTAAGTCAGATGGATGTTTTCAATTCGTCTTTTTGAAAATTTTTAAATAGTTCCATCCGTAGTAAGATTCGAACTGTGCGTTTCCAAATAAACAATTAAAAATTCTTAAAAATAAATTTGTCATTCATGTTTATATTGCAATAAAAAAGTACTGTTAAAAAAAAAGAAAAAAAGCATATTGTCCAAACATTCAAATCTTATAAAATTTTCAACGCGTTCCGGATTTCCGAAACAATCGAGACTTAAAGAAAGAAGAGAAATTAGAACTTTCGACAGAAGTTTTTAATTTCGATCGACATTCGCAACAATTCGAGATTCAACGTAACGTATCTTGAGAACGCATCTTTCTAGACCGTATATATTTTTCTAATTACTCGATCACGCGCAAGAACGGAGAATTATAGGTCGATTTCAATCTCTACGCTTCTCAGCTCTTCTCAGCCGCAAATGGAAAGAAATCTCGGCGGATATTAGATTCTCGGAGAGATTCTTGGATCATTAGACTCTTGGATCTCGGAACAAAGAACGATTCTGCACGTGGTTGCATACTCTCAGTGCAGTGGCTCTCTCTCTCTCTCTCTCGCACTCGCTCTCTCGTTTTCAAGAGCCTAGCGGAGTGCTCCACTTCGGTATATTTTTAAATACATCACGAGCTCCTCTCACCGCGCTCTCACGAGTCTCCGACGAGACCCTCCGCGACTTCCTCCTCTTCGGCAACCCGCCTCACCTCACCGCCTTGACTTCTTTCGGTCTACTTTCCGTGCCGACGCGCACAATCGCGCCCGCGCCGTGCCGCGCCCCTGGTGGGGACCCTCCGGTAAATATTTACAGTTAACGTTACATAATAAGCGTATACCGCCACCGCGTTCACGGACCAGCGAATCCGCCGGGCCCGCCGGTGAAGGCGTTACGCGCGACGCCGATAACGGCCCGTTACCTGCCCGACCTTCGAAATCCAATTGCAGAAACCCGAAATTATTTTTAGAGGATCCTGACCACTCCTTTACGGTAAACTCCTAAACGGCAATCCTAATTAATCGCGCTTCAGCGAGCGTCACAACTATGACGTGGTTCGATGTAAAGGTTGACTAAGATATATCCACGGTCCCAAATTATAAGGAGATAGTCCCAAATTTTAACTCTTCGTTCTGACTTTACAGTGATACCCAAATTTTGTCTCAAATTTAGAACGTGATTAAGTAGTCCCTTTTTTAAATGTAAAAATAAATAATAAATGTAAAATAATAAATAAAAATAAATGTGAAAGTAATTTTTATTGTGATTTTATGTGATAATCCACTGAGTGTTACTAATTATTTACAAATATAATAAATGATATTGTTTAAGTGTTTCATTAAATTAAAAAATGTTTATCTATTAAAATTTAGTTGCAATTAATATTGAGTTTTTTTTAATGTCGTTCTTTGCTTTCTTAAGGAATCACCTTATTGTATATTCCCGCCAGTCGTCTGGTCATTTCATCAAATTACCTTGCACACTTAAAATGGTATTATCAAATTATATCTAATTTGAATCATTGTTAATATTTCCTATCATTATTGCTGGGGTTAATTTAGCTAAAACAATAAAGTTAAACAATTTAACTTAGATTGAGAAAAAAATCGAAATATTCTCAAGCGAATATCATATATATTTTCTTTAATGTTCGCTATTACAAAAAAAATAGTTGACTATGTTGACAAATATACATTTTTATGAATACATCTCATTAAAAAATGTAAAAAAATAAAATAGATAAAATAATTTATTTGCTTGAAATAAAATTCTATTTCGCCGTATTTAAATAAGGATTAACAATAAACTTTAAATTCCATAAATAAATTTTTAAATATTTTTTTCTCAGTATAAGAAATACAGATGTTGTTTATTTTGCAAACTAAACAATAACAATACACAAAAATAAATTGTTGAGATGTGACTGTTTCTTTAATGACGTGTTTTGTGTTAAAATAATACATTTTGATTGCAAGTTGAAATGTTAATTAATTCGACGAATTGGATTAAATTTGATCACTTAATGTAATATTGTATTTAACAACGTGGAATTAAAACTTCACAAGAAATAATCAAATATCAAAATACTTAAATGTCAAGTCCTTCTTCCTCGACCGTATCGTTGCGATGGACAACAGTTGTATTAATGTATTTCTATTTATATACATACGTATAACCATACATTTCGAAGAGAAGAGAAAATAACAGATCTAAATCCCACAGTGCATTCACATTGGATATAATTTGATATTAAGATTAAATTCATAATGTCAAATTATACTCAATTTGAGTTATTTTTAATCATTTTTATAGATCTCTTTTGCTTCTACTCAATGTTTCGTTATTAATTTAATTAAAACAATGAGGTTAAATCAATTTAACTCAAGAAATAGGTAATAAATTTATTTAGAAATGTGTTAAATTTCTCAAAATATTAAGATTTTAGTTTATTATTTTATTTTACTTTGTTTATTTCATTTTTGTATTATTTACTAACAATAAGTGCACTCTATATAACTAAAATAATATTATTTACCTCAAAATTCAGCAATTTTAATCACAAAAATAGATTGCTTCAAAGTAAACAATATCCATCAATGTATGTTAGTAAATAATAAATTAAAATTAAAATCTTTTGTATTTTGATACACACATGGAAGTTAAAAATAACAAAACACCTTGCACCTGCAAATAAAGATTTTAAAAAATTTCACACCGAAAGAAAAGCTGCTACAACAAATTAGATAGTAAAATATAGCATAGCATTTTTAATTGTCTGCTGCAATCAGTAAAAAAATCCTATGATATATTCAGCCAATCTTTTCTTTCAGTGCAAGGATTACAAAATAAATCGAACGATAAATCATTCTTCGATTTTCATTGTAGCCAAATAATAAATTATACATTCTTCGGTGCAGATAAGTTTAAAGATCGCTGCGAAAGTGATCGAATGTCCAATTACGACTAATTTTATACCGTTCCATTCCGGTCCGTTGTCCAGCGAGCACATAATGATGTCGACAGCGATGAAAACGATTCGTCGATTGGCCTACCCGCAGCGACGAGGATCCTTGACAGTTCGCCAAGGTCTCGCCGTTGAATAAAAAGCGAAGCGGAGGAACGAGCGAGGTTTTACTTACCTAGCGCGATAAATTTACGTGCGCAAGGTCGTAAGCCGTACACGTAACGCGCGTTACGCCGTTTGTCTTCGATCGATCCGCAATGTCGATCGTTTGCAGGAGCACGAAGATCGTTTGTGTAACGATTCCATCGACATTAGTAACGCGATCCTTGAGCGTGTTATGTAAACGATCAGGAAGCGTTTTGAGATTTAGTCATCATCGCGGTCGGTCGAGGAAGAATTTCGCGCGGCTTCCTGGATTGTCAGGTATACGTATATGATGGAGAAGAGAACTCTGCTCGAAGCTCCGCGAAATCATGACGTTAAGAGCCGGATATCGCGCTGCAATCATTTCCGACTGGCATTTCGGAAATGCCATGATTGCAGCTCCATCCCGGAAAAGATCGACAAAAATAGTTGGATCCGTTTGTATTGTTGCACTGAAAGAAAAGTATTTTGTATTTGTAGTTGTAATTGCACGGTATAATAATGATGGCTAGGAGCTCGATTTTTATAGTTATTATTGCTACGCCGAAAAAAATGATTATTGTAATTAATTCGAATATAATTTAATTATTTATAATCATTTTTTGGGATAATTATATGTTTATAATTGTTTTAAACGTATAAATATAATCAATTGTGTTATTAATAATTGTCACATACAGTGCTTGAAAATTTAGCTTCTTCTTAACATATTCTTTAGTTATTATCGCGTGTGAATTTAAGAAAATAGTTACACTGAAAACAATTTCTGGTTGAAAATGGACAAATGGAATTTTCTGGTTAAATTTATTAGAATTCTAATTAAGATAACCGAAATTCTGGTTGATTCAATATTTCTGATAAAATCTATTAGAATTCTTATTTTTACCAAAATAATTATATCAATTAGAATGCTAATTATCTCAATTAGAATTCTAGACTTAACAAGAAAATTCGGATTCGTCCATTTTTCATCAGAATTACTATTTAATTCAATCAGACCATATTTCTCAGTGTATATTCACTATACAATTGCGATTATATT